ACCAGGGCTAGGGGGAAAAGCAATTGTTTCTGAGCCTCTGATTAACGATCAGAATCTCCTAGAATCTGAAAAATTTCAGAGAAGCAAGCAGGAAAATTTGTGGCAGTAATTCCTTTATCTCTAAGGAATGGGTAGCACGATTGAGCTGGAAATATTGTGTAAGGTTACTGTCATTTTCAAATATGTGGGGCTATTAAGCTTTATGGTCTCTGATATCTATTTTCTCTGAAGTCTATTTTCTATGCAAGCTCAGGAACTGTGAGTCTTAGATAACAGACCAATCTTACGTATTTTTTCCATTGGAGATTCTCATGAGATCTGTCTGGGTTTCATAACCCTCTACTTTCATTTCCTCTACCACTGGTTATTTTGTGTGCAAATACTTAAGGTTAACAAGGATTTTTTTTCTCCCACCTTTGTTTTAAATAAATGTTGTTTATACCTTGTGAAAGTGCTCTAACTTCCTAGTTACATACCTTTTGCTATGGAGTTAGGAAGTGACTACCCAACTTATTTCATTTTCATCATTTATCATTTTATTTTTCAGTTGTCAAAAAGGAACACAGGCTGTGGGATCCCTTTTTATCTCACCTGCTAGGATCAGCACTGGGGATCCCAAGAAAAGGCATCTCCATGGAAACAGATGTTGCCAGCAATAGCAGCTACACCAAGACAATAAGGTAGGACAGAGAGTCTCTGGAGAAGGTTTCATCCCATTTACTCAACCTTGTCACTCCAACTCCTTTCATTTTTTAATGTCTACTAATGTACATAACAACAGGGCAAGACAGCCACTTCTGAGTGTTTCTCAACCTCAGCAGCTTTAAGATGGGTGGATTTCAACTCCAGAATTCCACCAGCCAGCTTGAATTGAAGTCCACCCATCTTAAAGTTGCCAAGGTTGAGAAACATTGAATTTGACCAAGATCACCCTATTCCCTACACTTGAGCTCAACTCCTGGTGGACACATCCATGGTGGGGTTTTCTTGGCAACAGTTAGGAAATGGCTTACCATTGTTACTTTCCAAGATATTTTTTAACCTACAGCCCCATCATCCCTAGCCTGGAAAGCACCATGCTGGGAAATGTTGTCCAATCATTCAGATACTATCCTTGCAAGGATGAAATTTTGACTCCTGAAAAATGAGTTTGCATTCAGACAATATAGTGACCCATTTTTAAATCCATTATAGTATATGGAATTGACCCAGTTTTCTGGGTTCTCACAACCCACTGAACTAAGAACTAATAAACATGGGCTGAGTTTGCATACCACCCTAGACCAAAATGTAATGGATTAATTTGTGGTTCAGTGTGTGTTGCAAACAGCTTGAATGTAAAACAGTTTCTAGCCGATAAGGATGCCCACATGAGCTGTGTAATGGCTGAAGGAAAAGGACTGTGAGCAGATGATCACTTACAATATCAATGCAGAATTTCTCAAGTGGGGGAGACATTGCTAGTTTTTTGAGTAGTAATATTTCATTGTCAGAGGGACTGCAGAAGGTAGTCACCTGGATGTTGCATATCAAAGTCATGCTTGCCAAAACTTTCTCAAATTCACAAGCTCGTTTCCCTTATGCCTGCAGAAAGAATGTGTAAGGAAGCAATGATTTGATTGCCCTTTGTTTTCTTTCTATTAGAAGACAATGGCATCAAAGCAATACATGTTAACAGTGGGAGAATAATAATAGACTAATCTTATGAAGAATTTGGCTGGGTTCCTTTATTGTGCTAAGCCATAACATGGTTTTGTGAAGCTCTTGGCATCTGCCTAACCAAAAGTAATTTTTTTTCAAGCAAGATTCTCACAGAGTCTCTTTAAGAAGATTTACTGTGAAGAAAGGATTGGGATGACAAAAATTCCAGCAACTGAACAATTCCCATCTCCAATCCTATATCCCACAGGACACTGGGCAGAACATTCTTCATTTTCTCTTTAACTGCCTTCTCATGAACTAGCAAAGTGGTGTTTTCACTGATAACAAAGGAGGTTGCAGCTGGTTGCTTGGTCTCCTGGATCATGATCAGTCTGGGAACCAACCATTACAGACTTCTTCAGTTTGGGCTTTGCATATGGATGAACCCAGCCAACAATAACAACCTAGTTGTCTAAGGATAACCAATTCTGGATTATTCAGTAAAGCTGTGACTGAATAACCTATGTTTTAGCATTAAATGTGAACCCAGCTGCTGATCTATGAGGCTTTTCCCCCTTGTTTTCTAGGAAATCATTTTGCATAAATACAGCATTCCTTTGCACCATTTTCTGCCTATTATATGCAGAAGAGCAAAGTGAGATTCCAACAGAATGTCATTTTTTTGAGCTTCTGGGTGCTGAGCGTTCTACTAATGGGCTTCATTTGGCCCAAAGAATGTAGCCCATTTGCATGTGACAGATTTAGAAGTATTACAAAAATGATGTGTTTATGAACTTACATTAAAGCAAAAGAGGTCATTAATGTTTCTTTTTTTTTCAGATAAGTCGGGAAATTGCTAAGTGCAAGATTTTAACCACAGCAATAACTTGGCTTCTTCTGAACATCTGGAGCTGATCCAGCAGATTATTTATTTAGTTATTTATTTATTAAGGCAAAAAGGAGTTGAAATGCTTGGGCTTGAAATATATTGCTATTTTTGATGCAAGTCAGCGGTTGATTTCCCCTGATGAGGAAAGGAAAAGAAGTCCAAAAATGGAACACCATGAAATAGCAGGCATGTGTAATCTCTCCCAAGATACTTTTTTCTGGCAAAGCAGCTACAAATGGAAATAGATAGATAAATGATCTGTTTTTCAAGGACTGGAAGGGTGTTCACATAACATGATCAGGTAACAGAAACACCCTGCTTCTATTTTACCCTGGCTATATTTGATGGCTTTCTGGGGGCTAAGACTATAGAACAATCATCATGTCCAGTTAGCAGTAAGAGGAAGTTAAAAACAATTATCCATTGTTGGTTGGTTTCAACAGTTCCGGGGAATGCTAATTGGAAATGCAAATCCAGTCCTGGTTTGGATAAGACACTTACCCAATGGAACACTACCAACTGTGTTAAGGGGAATAGGATGGGTACACTATGGCAGCATACCCTGAGACAGGGGGCTTGTGCACCCAGACATATCCAGACCTAACTCAATGGGGGAGCAGAAACACACACAGCTGCAAGACAGTTTATTTATTTAAAAGCTTTACACGGCTGCCCATCTTAAACAACTCTGGGCAGCTCATGACAACAATAAAACCAGTAACTATAAAACAATCATAAAACAGTTGTTTCTTATACAAAGGAAACTGCTAAAGCCTCTTATGGACGCTGCTCGTAAAAAGATGGAAAGAATTTAAGAAGCCCTGCTTTGCATAATTTCCTCTGCCTTGTTTAAAACTACACTAGGACCAGCCTTGGGGGAAAAGTACTGCTTTGGTTGCCAGGAATGTTGGAAAAAAATGCAGGGAAAAATAACCAAAAAAGGGGGGAAAAATCAAGGATTGAAGCAGCCTCTCTGAAAAAAGCTGTTTTGGAACTGTGTTTGTTTTTGCTTTGTTTTGTTTCATTGATTATGTGCCATCAAGTTGTTTTTGGCTACTATTGACCACATCAATAGGTTTTCTCCATGATGATCTATCCCTAACCTGATCCTTCAGGTCTTGTAACAATGCTCTCATCACCACTGAGTGCCTCCACCTCGCTTCTTCTCTTTCCTTCCTCCTTTCCCAGCATTAGAGCCTTTTCCAGAGAGCTGGGTCTTCACATAATGTATGCAAAGTAGGATACTTTGAACCTGTTGGAACTATTTAGGTCAGAACAAAATGAGAATAAGAGGGGTAATTGTAGAGGTTTATAGAACAATACATGGCATGCTGAAAATAGATGAAATGTTTTTCGTTTTGCATAATGTAATAGAGAAACCTAGGGTATGGCTTTGGGAATTCTTTCCAACCCCTTTCTGGCAGTTCTGCTCTGGAGGGGGCTTAAAATGGAAAAGTCACCAATATTCCCAGGCACTGCCCAGCTGTCTCTCCCACAGAAAATCATTGGCCATTGTGGGAATTGATTCTAGGTTTATTTTCCTCGCTGGCCCATGTTTGAACTCAATCCATCTTTTGTTAGCTTCTCCCGCCACACCAAATTTGATCCCATTTTACTCTTATTTGGGACAGCTACCCCACTGACAGTCCAGAACCCTTTACAAAATTACTTTTCCAACATTTTGGGTTGGAAAGAATAAAAATCGCTTGTTTTGCACTCTAAGTATGGTAACCAGTCGGGGGAAGGGCACTTTTACCAAGCTCTGGCTTTTTAAAAGGCTTATTTTTAAAAGGTGCGCTCCTGAGTTAAGTAGATTATTACAATATTGGTGTTCTGTGATGCGGTTTTCCTTCTCTGCGGCTATTGATACGTTCTTGTTTTTATGGCTGCGTTTTATTGTTCTGCTGTTGAAAGTCACCCGCAGAACTTGGTTTAATTTAATTAAGAAAATATTGCTGCAGCAAGAGACCGTTCGTGCCTCTCTCCGCTGAAACGCGCACGCTGCTGTATATATTCTTGTCTTTGCAATTACGATTGCATTTTCGTTTTAGGTTTGTCAGTTATTATGATAGGTTGCTACTCCGAGTCAACCATAAAACTTCGCTCCCTTTAATTTAATAACGTCTCGCTGCGGTATAAGGAGGCTGTTTTCATTCTGCGCGCAGAGACCCACGCCCTGCGCTATAGGTTGCGATTTACGGCTACATTATTTTACTGATTTCTTTCCTGTTGTTGCAAATCACCCAGAGAACTTGATGAGGGCGTGCAAGCGCGGCTAATAAATAAATGAACACGCAGGCAATCGATCACCGTCCCTTCCCCAAAACTTGACAGCCCCCTTCGCGGCCTTCTCCGAGGGGGCGGGGCCGCTGCGCAGAAGGGCGGAGTCAGCTACACCAATGCTTGCTGATGACGTGTATTTAAACGGCCCGCCGAGTAAAGTGGCGTGTCGTCATCACCGGCGCGCCCGCGGACCCTAGCGATGGTTGCCACGGGCATGGCGGTGGCCGGAGGAGCGCGGGCTCGGGCACTGCGGCCCCTCTTTGGCTGCGGCCACCGCGCGCGGTCAGCCGTGGCAGCGACCCAAGCGGGGCCTCGAGGGCTGGTCTATGAGCAGCATGGAGAGCCGGCTCAGGTCCTACAGTAAGCAGAGAAAGGCTGGGCTTGGCGTCCTTTCGCCCCGAAGGGGGACTGTGTTATTTGGTCATCGGTTGCTCCTCGGGGGGCAAAGTGCAAGATTTTTTATTGTCATCATCATCATCATCATTAGTATTATATCCCCAACTCGAGGCGGTGAACATACCTAATGGCCCTTCCTTTCCTCCTCCTATTTTCCCCACAACAACCACCCTGTGAGGTGGGTTGGGCTGAGAGAGAGCGACTGGCCCAAAGTCACCCAGGGGCTTTCATGCCTGAGGGAGGCCTAGAACTCACCGTCTCCTGGTTTCTAGGCCAGCACCTTCACCACTGCCCCAAACTGGTGCTCTCTCTCTATTTGTATTGCTAACCCTTTTCCCCAGGGGCTCAACATTAGCTAGAGTAGTGGTGAAAAGCAGGCTGTAGATGTACAAAGGACACTATACACCAACACTACTTTCACAAGATGTGGATCACAGCAAGACAATAGGGTGGTCCCATGGATTGCTTCCCAATTTGCTAAGCCGTTCTGTGGTGTGTTTGCTTTCTGTGTAGAGTATTAACATTATTCCTATAATTATGAGGGGGTGCCTGCTGCAATTGAGAACCATGAACCATGGTTTGCAAACCATGACTTAGGGTTGTGTGATGTTTATGAATCCAGGCAAATTATGATTAGATCAATTAAACAAAAATGGCTTAGTGTGTGGGGTGAACAGAGCCTCTGGTCACTCCTGAATTTCCTTTCATGGTCTGACAGATAAATAGAGACTTAGAGGTATCTTGAATCTTCTGTTTTGCATGATGATGGATATGCAGATCTTCATCTCCCCATCCATCATGTTTCTTTCAAAATCGATGAACCCCAAGATCTGTTGCTTGCCTTGCACTGAGCTCAGTCTTGAAAAAGTTGTTTGAAATCTTAGAGAACTGTTACCAGTCAGTGGCTAGATTCATAATGTAAATTGAAATGAAGCTTTCTGGTTTGTGATATAGTGTGGAAGGAAAACCGAGCCATTGTTTAAGTTTCAGAATATTGTGAGAATCAGTATCATGGTTAAATGAACAATAGTTTTACATGATGGGCAAACCCTGTTTCTTTTATTTATTTTTTAAAATGAATTGCTTTTTATTACTTAAAAAATCCCAAAATTAAGTACCTGGTCCACATATTGTGCCAAGTCATAAACTGGTTAATTTCAATAATACCGAACTGGGTGGTTCTTTCTCTTCTTGTGTTGCAAAGGACTCCTGTAGAGAGAACTTAAAGGATATGGCTTAACTACCAGAAATATCACACATAGTAATAATCTGCATAGGGGCTATATATTAAAACAAAAACAGGAGAACTTTCTGTAGCTTTGATGAGATTTTAAATTCCAATTGTAAAGCTTTCCCTTAAATTTTGTTGCAGGTAGATCATTCTGACCTGATTAAAAACATCTGTAACTTTGGAATAGAGTTTTTGATTCAGCTCAAATATTGAATGCAATTTTTCTATGTCCAATCTGAACCTAAGTTTTGGGTTTTTTTGGCACTTTTTGTAAAAATTCTAAATCCCTATTGTAAGTAGTCAAATTGTCGAATGTCTTCATTTGCTTGGATAATAGATGTTAATTTCAGTGTAGCAAGTTTTGAAGGCCTGAGGTTAAAAAAATGGAGTTGTGAACAAAATGCTGACATCATTTCTGATATTATAGAAAGAAAACTGTACTAGTTTAGGGTAACTGAAATCAAGAGGAGTCTGGTAGCACCTTTTCAGTCTAACAAATTATATTAAGCAGCTTGTGTTTTATTTGAATGTTTGCTGTGTGCCTTGACTGAAACTTAAGTGTTGTAAAATGTGCAATGTTATTCTTTTTCAAGAAATTGTAAAATGTGTTAAGAGGAAAGAGTCAAGAGGTGTGTGGATTACCTCTGCTAGTCAGGCTAAACAATGTACAATAGAGAGAGTGCGTGGTGATTGAAATGTTGGATTAGAACCAGGGGGTACTCTCAACCATGGAAGCATGCTATATAGGTAAAGCCAATAAGATGATAGTTAAGGTTGATTTACATTACAGGAGTCCAGCAGGCTTTCCTTTTTCCACACAATAGGAAAGAGAGTTGAGAAGGAAGAAATGTTATTAGTAAAGCAGTCTAAGAGGCTCGATACATTAGGCATCTTAAAGTTGTGATTATTGAGCAATCTGCGAAACAGGTATGAACTAGACTGACTAGGGATTTAAAAGAAGAGACAAAGAACCAGCAAGCTGAAATGCTGTCAACAAAGTCTAAGATAAGAAACAGTGAGGACTGGACAGTTGTTAGTATTATTCTCTTTTTATTCAAGAGAGTTGTGCTTGCAGTGATCCTATGCTTTTATTCCATCACTCTTTCATTGTAAGTGCTGCTGTGGTATTTAGTTTGTGTACAGAGAGGAAATCAAATATGATATTGGCCATAAAATTCCCTACCCAGCATCTCATAGATTAAGCAACAGGTTTCTTACACAATTTACATGATCCGTTGCGGCAAGTGACCGTTATTCAGCTGAGTGGCATAATATATTTGAGCAAATGTGGATAATTAGGTTTCTGTCATACTTTGCGGGCAATGTAGTAATTAATGGTCTGTCAGCATTTCCATTTTAACATCAGTTTTTCAAGGGAGCTATAAATTATTGATTAAAAAAATATGGTCTATGCAAAAATAATGAGATGTGTCTCATGTGGAATTTTTCTCTATATTGGCTTTATTATACTTGATTCTTCATTAGCCACAAACCTATTCATCCAGCATCTCTTAAGAGCATTGTAATTAGTCACATACCTGTACTGGAGGGGGAAAAGTCAGCTGACAAGCACCCTAGAATTGAGGTGCAAAAATAAAAGGTTTATGCAACATTACCATACTCTGAAATTTCCATTTATAGCAGCGCTTGATTAGGTTGAGAAATGGTTTGTATTGTCTGTGGTTTGAATAGGCCAAAACTGCTTTGTTTACACATCACAACAAACTACAGATCATGGTTTGCTAACTGAATGACTGGATTCATAGCAAATCACATTATGATTTAGTGCAATATGTAAATCCTGTCTATTAGAGGTAGTCCTCGACTTACGACCGTTCATTTAACAATCATTCAAAGTTACAACACTGAAAAAAGTGACTTATGACCGGTCCTTGCACTTACAACTGTTGCAGTGTCCCCACAGTCATGTGATCAGAATTCAGGTGCTTGGCAACAGGCATGTATTTACAACAGTTGCAGTGTCCTGGGGTCATGTGATCGCCATTAGCAACCTTCTCAGGGCGTTTCCAACAAGCAAAGTCAATGGGGGAAGCTGGATTCGCTTAACGACTGTATGATTTGCTTAACCATGGTGATTTGTTTAACGACCACAGCAAAAAAGGTTGTAAAATCAGGTGCAAATCACGTAACGACTGCATCACTTAGTAACAGAAGTTCCAGTCCCAATTGTGGTTGTAAGTCGAAGATTACCTATTAGCAATGGAATGCTTAGGATGGAATGCTTAAGAAGATGGTGATTGGGGAGGGAGGGAGAGAGAGAGAGACCACTGAACACTGCAGAATGGATCCTTTTCTTTAAAGTATTAAAAGGCTAGCATGCGCATTATTATTTTAACACTAGTAGGACATACATAAGACTTTGTTAATGACTTTTTCCTGGATTTGAACCCCTTCAGGTTGCAAGCCAAAGTTAGTATAGTTGAATGCTACTCCACTAGCAAACTAAACATGTCCTCACCACCCCAAAATGGTCTTACATGTAGAAAGCTAATGTGGGTAGAAGCTTGCTTTTTGCCCCTATGTTATATCTTTTTCATCTATAGCGTATGAAGAATATTTTGAAGGAACAAAATTGAAATATATGCCAGCTAAAGCGGTACAATCCAGATAAAGGCTTTATCCATTATTTTTATATTTATATTTTCAAATTTGTCACCACCCATCTCACTACAGAGTGATTCTGGGCAGTTTACAGTAAAAACAGAATAAACATTAATTAAATAAAAATTAATTAATTAAAATAAGCTAAAAAACAAATTTCCTATATGATACTTCCAAGAGGCTGATGTTAATTAGGTGTTAAACTCAGGGAGCGTCATCAAGGTGCCAGCCATCCCCAGAGTTGGTTGTATCTTTCTTCACTCCATGCAAGTTGGCATAGCCAAGTCTTCAATTCCCTCCGAAAAACTGGGAGGGTAGGGGCCCACCTCACCTCTGGGGGAGAGTATTCTATAGTGTGGGGGCAACGACAGAGAAGGCTCTCCTCCTAGGACCCGCCAGTCGACATTCTCTCACCAACGGGATCCACAACATGCCTTCTCTGCAGGACTGGGTGGGACAGGTCGATGTAATGGGGGTGAGACGGTCCCTCAGGTAACCTGGACCCATGCCATCTGCATATTGATGATATCTCATCCCATGGTGGCAGATGATCTCATCCAGTGGTTTCATGTAGATGTTAAAAAGGAACAGAGAGAGTACCAAACCCTGCGGCACCCCACAACAGAGGGGCCGTGGGCCGGACCTCTTGCTCCCAATCAACACCAATTGGGAGCAACCTTGGAAGAAGGAAGTGAACCAGCACAAAACTGTGCCACTCACTACCAACTCCATCTTGCCAGGGTTATTACTTGCATCGTTTATGTCTGAAGTAGTTTCCAGTATTATGGCATATTTAGCAGGCCCCCAAATGTAATCCCATTCTGAGTTCCACAAGGAACAAATTTTGTTACAAGCCCATATTCAAAGATTTCCCCACAATTATCCCTATCTCTTTTTTAAATATTCAAGCTGACTCTAACTCCAGGTGCCTTAAATAGATATTTTGTGTATACACACACACACAAACATGCATGTTCTACATGCAATTGCTATGTGAGAAAGGTTAGATCAGGTGGCCTTTCCCAACCTAAACTCATTCCCAAAGCTTCATGTCCTTTAAATGTTTGAGAAGCACCAAGGATAGAATCTCTTCTAAGGGAGCGTGATGATTATTACATGTGCTCTTTTCAGCTGTTTGGCACTTGACTTTTTTTTTTTTTTTAGGCCAGTACAACTAGTTAGAAGTGTGTTTTGTTTTCCAGAATTTATAGCAAACAGCCCCCTCTAAAAAAAATCTGAATGCTGCTTGTGTTACCTTTACTGGGCAGCAATTTGATATTTTTCACTATGTGATTAGATTCATACATTGCACTAAGCCAGAACCGAACAAACCATCTTATGTTTTAGTGTGATGTGGGGAACCCACCTGATATATGTCCTGATCTTTTAACATGAATAAAGGGGGAGCTGGAAATAGGAAGTGCTTAAAAGAAATTGCTAAATGCCTGACATGAAGTAACAATGAGTCTGTAGTTATAGGTGAGCTACTGGAACACCTCCAAGGATCTAGCTCTGCCAAGAAAAACTGAAAGCTCACTGTAATATTCAGTCCTAGAATATTACCCTTAATTTTTTTTATTGGAAGTAAATAAACTTCTCTGGGTTTAAAATCGGCATCATGTTGACTTGTGGATATAAGATCAAGTATTTGGCAGGCATTGGAGATGAGCCTTTTTAGGCACATCCCCTTCTTTGTGCAGCTCCTTCTCAAGGGAGTATTGCCTTTTTTTCCCTTAAGGCTTTTAAGGATCCATTTGTTTCTAATTACTTTTAGCTGAGATGCATTTCATTTATTTGTTTGTTTATTCAATTTATATAGCCGCCCAGAGTCACATATGTGATTCTGGATGACTCACACAAACTTATTATATGGACTGTCCTGGATTAATGATGGGTTATCTTGTGTTGGTAAGCTTATGATTTGATGTTCTGCATCTTTTGTTTTTTATAAAACACATCATATAAAAAGGCAACTTAGAAATATTTGAAATATATTTTAAATTAGACCAGCACCATTCCAGTTGCTGAATCTGTGAACTACTTGTAATTGAAGGGGCAATTATTTGCACTCTTGGGGGAGAATAGAATTGAAAAGCAGGGAAATATAAAATATAGTACGCATTTTAATGATAGAGAAAGGCTCTATCATTGGTGGTTCAGGGAGAAAGTAACCACCACAGCCATGTGGATGATGGATAACTCTATTCTAATTAAATTCAAACAGATGAGCAGTAATTCTAGATTGAAGTAAGCCATAAAACCTCATTGAGTGCAGCACAGATGTTACTTGGAATTTGAAAAAGGCTTTGGGTTTCTGTATTGAAGAGCTTATACAAACATTCCTGTGACATTAATAGTCAAAGCTGAACAATTGTTTTTGGGATCAGTTGGTTTAAAACCACCTCAGTCTGAACACTTTTGAGTTATCAAGGCTGTTCTATTGAAACAGCCAGTCTTATTTTAATTCTAGCAGTATGTGGCTTTTCTCTTTATGAAGAAATTAAACAATCCTATCTGTGTTCAAGTCTTCTGAGTAATAAAAGGTCTTGTGTTATTTGGCACATCTTAGATGTCTAAAAATTGGTGTGATGGAAGGGGGAAATAATCTAAAACTAGATTTCTTTATAATCTGATAGCAGGTTAGAGAACCTGATCCCTTTGGTTTTATGTGAATTGATTTTACCAACCTACTGTATTTAATAGTGTTAAGATTAAAGAGCTGGAATGTGTTCTTTCTGTATATTGCTTCCTGCATATTGGTCCTGGTGGAGAAATTCCTGTTGAGAGATTCAAACCACAAATAGGTATTTTTAATGCAACCTGTGAACTTTCAAGCTTATTAAGAATTATTTTTTATTTTTGTAATAGAATCAGCTGGCTTAGGAGATACTCCTTTCAAAATGAATGAGAAAGAGAAAACCAGCTGAGCTAACAGATAACAATTTAAAAAATTTTTAAAATAAGTATAGCATTTAAGAGAATAAGTAAATAATAATATGACACTTAAGAGAAATATAAATATACTAAAACAGCATTCCCCAGTCCTCTATGTTCAATCTGATATATTTGCTGAGATGTGATGTTAACTTTACTTCTATAGACTGGGTCCTTTTCATTTCTTTATAAGAAAAGGAAATTGACTCTAAAAATTTTCAGTAGTATTTTACTAGAATTTAATAAGCTGACATTGTACTAAATTGGGGGTGGAAGAATAGTAATCAGAAATTAGATTTTAAAGAAAAAAAAATGGAAGGGCAACATAAGAAAATAGGCTAGCAGCAGTATTATCTGGTTGTCTGTCTGTCAAAACCAAGTGAATTCATCCTAGACTAAATAATAAATCTGTAACTATATATGAAATTGGTTTTCAAATGAAAAAAATAAAAACTTATAAATACTGATATTGGCTTTAAAGGAAGAATGGCGCTTAAATGTACTGCTGAGTTCACATCATACAAAAGCGACTCTAGTATGCTTTAGTATAATCTGTATGTGCACCTCATATATGTTTCCTTTCCTGTAAAAAAGGTTGGTGCTGATGAACAAGCTGATAGAGCTTGTTTTTTTGACAAACTGCCCCAAATGAAATGTTTACAAATCTCCTGGCTGGCAAAGAGAAGCTTAAGAATAATAAATATATATATTTGTCTGTTTTCCCTTGCAGCCTAAAAGACATAGATTTAGCAAAACTGGGGGATTCTGGAGTCCGTGTGAAAATGATTGCAGCTCCTATCAATCCATCAGACATCAATATGATTCAAGGTAACATTGACATAATGCACATTGTTTAATTCTTGCCCCCCATATTCTTCTTTTATATGGTGCTGTCAAGTGAAAATTAAGCAACTAGATTGTCCACATGTAATAGAATCCCCAGTGAGATAGTACACAGGATTGACAGTTAGCTTTCCTATTCCTGCTGCTACCTCCATCAGTTCAACTTAGGCTATATTACTTTGCATCTCTGGAAACTTTCCTAAGAGCCAGTAATAAAGTTACTGCTGTGTATTTGGAAATTACCACATGCAGAGGCCTCTGAATGATGGCAATCTAAGTAGCATTTTGAGCACAAAATACACATATATACCAAAGTGATATAATATATACATGCTATCCATAATAAGCAGTATTATCTGAATAAACTTGGAGATGGCTATTATACCAAAGATTGAAGAAGGGAAGGGGG